TCCATCATCCGCGTCCATCTCCGGTTCTGCCGGGGGGGGCGGACACCTGTGAGTGTGCGAAGTGCTCCCGACCCTCCCGGGAGCCGAATGGCTCAGCCTGTCTGCGTCGCTGCAGCCGAGCTCCTCCATGTCCCGAAAATACCCCGGTGCTGCCGGGATGGGGCTGCCCTGCCCGCGCCGTCTGGGCTGGGAGGTTTGGTTGGAAATCTTGCAGAAAGGCTGGGAGGAAAGAGGAGGAGAGAAACCTGCTGGGATGTTGCATGGTGGTGTTTTAAGCAAAACCCTGATGCATCAATGTTTTTTTCTCTGGGTTATGCTGCTTTGCACACACACACAGGATCAAAGAATCATAGAATCCCAGAATGGTTTGGGTGGAAAGGACCTTAAAGATCATCTCGTTCCACCCCCCTGCCATGGGCAGGGACACCTCCCACCAGCCCAGGTTGCTCACAGCCTGGTACCACTTTACTGACCCCAGCGGTTGCATCTGCTCTGACTCCATCCCGCGCTGCTGCAGGAAGGTGTTGTTTCTGCAGAGCAGCACCAGCCACAGCAAATCCCATCGCGCCCTTCCTGGGTGCCCCCCGACTCCTATGAAGTGCAGGAGATCTTCTTTGTGCACCCAAAAAAGATATATACTGGGGCTGGGAGAGCTGGAGCGAAGCTGAAAGATACCGAGTGGTCCTGGATAGGTGCTTCAGTTGCTTCATCTCCCCTTTTTTTCCAGGCTGACGGATGGGGCTCGGTTCTCATAGTGCATCTGTACCATGTCCCAGGGCTGTGGGGCCCTGGGTCCGTGCAGGACGTTGGTGGTGACCCCCCTTTGTCCCTGCAGACCTGGTGCGTCCCGGGGACAGGGCACCGACATCTCCTGCACATCAGAACTGGAGGGTGATGGAGGAGCCCAGGGCAAGACCTCTCCCTGGGGCTCCTCACAGAGCTCCTGCTTCTACCTGAACAAAAAAAATCACAATTTTTGAATTTCCAGAGGAAGCAGGTTTCTTTGGTCCTCCCTGGGAGGAGGCAGGAGTTCCCTGGAAATCCCAGTGGATGCATCTCCTTCGACATCTCCTGCACATCAGAACTGGAGGGTGATGGAGGAGCCCAGGGCAAGACCTCCCCCTGGGGCTCCTCACAGAGCTCCTGCTTCTACCTGAACAAAAAAAATCACAATTTTTGAATTTCCAGAGGAAGCAGGTTTCTTTGGTCCTCCCTGGGAGGAGGCAGGAGTTCCCTGGAAATCCCAGTGGATGCATCTCCTTGGGTTGTCCATCACCGCTCCCAATGAGCTGCGTCCGCTGGAGCAGGATAGCATCGCTGTGGCTGAAAGGGCGTAAAAACGGTTAGAAGGAAAACCTTGGCCCCATGGTGCGTGAGTGAACCTGGCAGGGCTGGCCGGGCAGGCTCACAACGTGAACGTGTGCGGAGGAACGGCAGTGCGAGGGTGAGGAGGGAAGAGCAGCGTGTGGAAAAAAACCCAAAGCGGTTTTTCAAAAATCACATGGCGATAAGGCGCTTTCTGGAGTGCCCCATACAGCTGGCAGCAGAAACCAAGCCTTTATGTTTTGCTCTGGCAAGATTTTTGCTTTCTGCAGCCAAAGGGATCTGGATAAAGTTTGCCTGGAAGATTAGCTGGCACCGAGCCCAACTAGACATCTCTGGAAGCCTCCCCTGGAGCAGGAGTACGTCCTAATTCCCCTCTCGTCCCAGCCCTGCCGTAGACAAGCGTGGAGGAATGTGTGTTTCCTGGAGCGGACGGTTCGACCACGCCGCCCCAAAGCCCCGTCTCTGCCCGCTGGCTCCTGCACCCGCTGCAAGACCCCAGTGGTGCTGCGGTCCCGGGGCCAGCCCTCTGCCCCCCTGGCATGTCAGGTTCCTGGTGGGGATGCAGTGGGAATGCTGGGGAGGGTGCAGGGGTGAGCAAGGTCCCGGGGGATCCATGCCACTGCGGTCCCCGCATGGGGCAGAGGTGATGCTCTGTGATGGGAGGATGGAGCCTTGGCACCAGTGCCCGGCTGTTGGGGCTTTGCATCAGCCCTCGCCTGGGGACACAGGTCCTTCATGTGGTCTGTCCTGACACCAGGGAAAGGGGGTGCACAGAACCCCCCGAGCAGGGCTGGCCTCCCCCAGTGCCAGCACTGGGTTCAGCACCAGCAGTAGGGTTCAACCACATCTGAGCCGCTGGCTCTGGGGGAGAGCTGGCAGGGGACGGCGGTGGGGGAGCAGAGGGTGTATGATGCTGTCCCCGCGGGGACAGTGAGCCCCCCACGCTGCGGCCCAGACACAAAGCAAATGGGATTTCATGCCTGGGGAGGGATTGTGGAGCAGGAGGGTGGCTGGCAGCTCCTGCCCTCCCTTGTCACTGCTCTGCTGCTGTGCTGGTAGCAGATGCCCATGCCCCCGGAGCGGAAAGCCTGGTCCCTCTCCTCTCATTCCTTTTTCCCTTTTTCTTTCTTTTTTTTTTTTTTTTTTTTTTCCTTCTTCCTCCCTCGGCTGATCTTAAAAAAAAAAACCTGGGCGGTTTGGGCTTCCTGAAACCCAAATGCCTTTTGCAGCATCAAGCCCGGATCCCATAAGTAATATCCCAGCGTTCGAGAATAAGACAGTAT